CAGGTTTCGTCATCATTGAAGTGTCCAATTCCAGTGGTTTATCCTGAATATATGTGAGCATGAAATGACCTTATAGGATAATTTCTAGGCGATTTCTAGGAAATTAAGAGGCACTGCGGAATCATGTAAGGACAGTAATTCCAAGGAAGTGAAAAAAAGGAAATTGACCTTCATCTCATCTGGAAGGATGAATTTGTATTTGCGGATAAGACGAGCCATCGTGAAACGAATTTGGATCAGTGCAAAACGCATACCGATACAGTTGCGCGGGCCATAGCCGAACGGTATGAACGCCAGTGGATCACGCAAAGCTTTATCCGCCGACGAAAATCTGTAGACAATGAGCATTGCGAAGTGAAAATAGGAACAATGTGATGTGGAGGCTACGAGTGTTACATTAGATCAGATTTATGAGGACAACAGCCTGACAGCTTATTTTGCTTCTCAGTTTGATAAAGAATCAGGTGTAATTCATTAAGCAAGGATTAGGTACACCGATCATTAGTTACTGCTGTTCAAGAGACCAAAAACTGTTCATATTCATGTGGGTAACGAGTTCTAAATTTGTGAATGTTCTGCTTTTGTTCTAGATTGCAGATCATAAAAGACTCTTTAAGTTACCTGTTGGGATCGAATTTCTCTGGATTCGGATAATATTCTTCGTTATGGTGGATAGCGTAAACGGCCACATGCACTGAGGTGCCTTTCTCGATCGGTACTCCATCTACAACGGTATCTGTGCCACAGTCACGTTCCGTTCTGGAAATGGAAAGTCAATCAGGATAAATGTTTTAGTCTCTGACGATGAGAATACGACAGAACACTTGTAAACTCATGGTCAGTGATGGTCATTCACTCAAAATTTTGACTCTTTCAAATCTTCCTTAGATTACCGGTATCATCAATAAACTGAAAAAAATTACTTACCAAGCGTAGCTGCAATGGATCACTAAAACTGGTATCAGAGCGGAGATGGTTACGAAAAACATGTAGTTAGTTCTGCAGAAGACGCCAACTATGAACTCACCTTACCACTGGCGGATACATTCTCAACGT